AGGTAAAATAGTGTATTATGCTCTTCGTATAGAATTTCAGACGAGAGGTTCTCCTCATTTACATGCATTGATATGGACATCAGATTGCCCTAAGTTAAATCATGATACTAAAGAATCCTATATAAAGTATATCGATGAACATGTACAAGCATACTTACCAGACAAAGACACTGAACCTGAATTGTATGAATTGGTAAAAAAGTATCAAACTCATAGCCACAGTAAAACATGTAGAAAATACAAAAATATAGCATGTAGGTTTAATTTTGGACAATTCTTTACTGATAGGACTATTGTATCTGAACCTTTACCTGATGATATGGATGATAGCATTAAAAGTAGTACATTGACCAAATGCAGAGAAATACTTACTTCAGTGAAACAGAAAATAGATGAAGTCCTGAACCCTAGCAAGCCTGAATATAATCCATCTCTTACTGATGAAGATATTTTTAAAGATGTTGGTATAACTAAACAAGAATATGAAGCTGCATTATCAATATCACCTGATTCTGATTATGGCTTGCATCTTAAAAGACCTCTTGATAGTTGTTTCACAAATAATTATTTCATAGCTGGGATTAAAGGCTTTGCTGCAAATGTAGATCTCCAACCTATCTTTAATCATTATAAATGCATCACATATGTGTGCAGCTATTTTACAAAAGATGAAACTGAATGCTCACAAGCTATTGTTAATGCTGCACGTGAGGCTAAAGAGTCAAACCTAAATGTTAAAGAAGGGCTTAAAAAAATTGGTGCTGCTTTTCTTTCTTCCAGAGAAGTAAGTTCACAGGAAAGTATATATCGCTGCATGCCTGAGCTTTGGTTAAGGAAGATATTTCCTAAAACGGTTTTTGTAAGCACAGATATGCCAGATAAAAGAATAAGAGTAGCGAAGAGCCAAGAAGAACTTGATGAATTAGAAGATGATAGCACGGACATAATTATATAAATCCAATATTATTGAGCGTTATAGTATAAGACCAAACTATATCCCATCTGTAAATAACATGTGCTTAGCAGAATTTGCTGCTTACTATTATAAGGATTACAAAACTGATATTGCAGAAACAGCTGATGCTCAGCCTGAAGTACTTAGTGACAACATGATTGAACAAAYTACAACAGAAGATACATCATCTTTCCCTAACAAAATAAGATTAATGAATGGTACTGAAGTCATGAAATGCAGGAAGATCAAAGCAGTTATAAGATACCATACCCCAAGTAAAGCAAAAGAGCCTGAAAAGTACTTCCATCATCTCCTCATGTTATATTATCCATGGAGAGAAGAAACTGAGCTTCTTGGTGATCAACACACCTACATGTCTAAATTCTGTGAGCCAAATGTAAAAACTATAATAGAGAAAAATAAGAATGTTTTTGAACCAGACTCTGATGCTGTCATTGAAGCATTTGATGCACTTAGAAACAATGATATCAACACACTTCACTCATATGATCCTATCAATGATCAAGAAAATGAAGATATACACTCCCAATTAGAACAATCAAATGTTGAAGATGAAACATTCAATCAACATATACCTTCACATCTGTCTTCTACACCTGAGTCTCATCAGGCTTCAGCACTATCTCGGTATGTCCGACCCTCAGAAATGACTGATAATGAGCTACGCCATTCTGTGAGATCTTTGAATAACAGACAGAGATATACATTTAACCATGTTCTAACCTGGTGTCGAAATAAAGTCAAAAACATCAATTGTATCAAACCACAAAACGTTGATGGAATTTACATTTTTCTTACTGGTGGTGGTGGAGCTGGCAAGAGCCACTTGATTAAAACAATATATCATACTGTAACAAAAACATTTAGACATGTTGCTGTTAACCCAGACTTACCATCAGTACTGTTAATGGCCCCAACAGGTGTTGCTGCAATAAATATTCATGGTACTACTGTTAATACAGCTTTAGGTATTCCAAAAGAAGCTGGTTCTACTTTAAAACCCCTTTCAGACCAAAACAGGACACAACTGAGACTCTTCTTATCTGAACTGAGACTCATAATAGTAGATGAGATTTC